GTCTTTCATTTTAGTGTAAATGACTGTATTTGCACACAAAAACAGTGTGTCAAGAAAAGAAATCTTACACTATCTGAACTTACCATGGGGAAAGATACTGTGTTCTGAATAACTAGGGACAGAATTTCAGAAGAATGAAACATTGCTTTACCTTGTCAAAAGGTGACTCATTGAGGTTGACCCGTTGGCTGTAGAGAGAAGGAATGCAGTTATGCTGTGCGGCTCATTTGAGTAGCTGGTACTCCAGGCTCTTGCTGAATGTAAAAAGGAAAATTTTTGAGAGCATAGTGCCATAATCAGCACACCTAAGGCAGGTCAAGCTATGGTACATCAATGTAGTAGGCAAGTTTAGGGCAGCCGTACAAATGCAGCAAAACTGCGCTACAGTGTGAGCTAGGAAACCTGTGTAGTTTTGCACCCCATGGCTTCTTGGACAGTAATCCCTTTCTGACTGCTTCAGGCATTCCTGGAAGGATCGTTATCAAGAACATGGGTCCTTTATATGGCCTGCATGATGTTTCTGTCATAGCTCAGGTCAATATCAAAATGTAATTTTGAGATCCTCAGATTATAAATCATTTTTGATTTTAACTTGTGATCCAAAACCAAAAGTCTTGATTTTCATTTGATCTCTTCAAATTTTAAGAAACTAGAAGAATTAGAAAAAGAAGAAGAGCTGAGAGAAGCTGCTGGAGAGTATGACAGTGAACCGGAAAGTGAAGATGAAGAAATGATGGAAATCCGACATCTGGCACAAAAGATCCGAGAAAAAAAGAAACTGAAAATCCTGCAGTCAAAGGAGAAAGATACACGGGGGCCGAGGATGCCTAGAACAGCTAAGAAGGCAAGTATAGAACATACTGCATTATAAAATCTTGCTGATGTGTAACTGTATAAGACAGTATAAGAATTTTGTGTAGTGGAACCGGCCGCTTTTTCTCATGTTCTACTCTCATGTTTTTTTGCTTTCTTCTGTGTTCGTACAAGTGTTCATCGTGGTTATGGAGGTACACAAAGTGATTTGTATTATGTCACACAAGTTTTCTGTTAGATTAGTATTTGCATAGCAAAAAAGGTTTCAGGAATATAATCCAGCTCATTTAGATGGGTTGCTGCATGGGATTTTTAATTTATTGTAATTTATGTAGGAAATCAGAATTTTGAGATTTTTTTAAAAATCAAAGTTGTGTAAAATTTGTCACAAGATCTTCTTTTACTGGAGAAGATTTTTTTTTTTTTTGTGGAAGCTAGATAGTTTTTTTTTGTAGTGACAACAACTCTTGTAACCAGTACAAAAGGTTGCCAGATACAGACCTGAAAAAAACACACTTTTTCAGAAAATGAAATTTGCTAATTTTGTACATATATATATATATATGGGTACAATATTGTAGTATTATATAATACTATACTTAATTATTACAATAAAGTATATTTTTATGTATATATATGAGTGTGTGTATATATACACATATATACACACTTATATATACATATATGTCTGTATATATACAGGTATATACACACACGCATACATATATGTTATTACATATGTTATGCCCGACAGTGTATGCCTTTTTGGGAGAGAAACATTTCTGATAAAAGCATCCCTTCCTCTTTCTCCCCCCTTGAAAAAAGAAAAAGCAAACTGTTTGAAAGATTTGGAGTGCTTTGATAAATCCTGTTATTATGGATTTATAGATAATCAATTGGATACGAAACTATGACTTTCATAGAATGGTTGTGCAGGGTGCCATAAGAAATAAATTTGTAGTATTTACATATAGTATATAGTATTTGTCTGTAGAGTCCGGTAAGTCTATATATATATACATAGACTTATGGCCATTTATTAGGACAAAAAATAGATAGAATCAATGTTTTTAAAGTAAAATGTGATTTCTTGACGTTATTTTTACAGGTTCAGCGGAAGGTGCTGGAGAAGGAAATGACAGATCTTGGTCTCGACATGACTAATAAAGATGATGTAAGCTTTTTGCTCATTAGATATTATGGCTGTCTACAAGAGATTAGTTTCACTGTAGGCTAAACTTCTTTGAGCTCTTCTGAAATACGTGTGATAGCTAGTACAAGAGTGAGGTGGGATTTATTAAGGAGGAAATGTGAAATCTGAGGTGGGTGACATGGTTATAACAGGCTGGGGTACCTGAACATCCTCTCCTGGTATTTATAAGGAATCACAAATAAATATAAGCACTGCTTTCTATTAGGACTTTGATTGCATTTGTATATGGCTCCAGAACTTGGTATACAAGTTGGGATCAGCTAATTAATCAGACTTAAATTCAAGACTATGTTGTTGGATGGAATACTGTTATGTCAGAAAGAGAAATAATGACAGATCAGGCTCTTCTTTTCATAGTTCATCAATGATGTGAATTCTAGTCAAAGCTCTTGATTGCCTGGTGGGCATTTTTAGTTGCTGTACAGTCATGGACTGTCAGTTCGAAACCTAGATTTGCCTTGGGAAATCATTTTATTTTATCATATGTTTTTAAAAAGAAATCCATTTTGTATGGCAAATCCAGGAGTATTAACAGCTATCTGAAACTTGAGACCTTAATTCTTTAAATAAACTAGGGGCTGGGGAACAAGCTGACGCTGCATTATACCTCTGAAATAAGCATGTGTGGTTTTCAGAGCTGACATGCCATGTTGATTTAGGAGCTCTCTCAGTGATGTCCTTTGTTCTATAAAGAGAGAGCAAGGAATCAGTGTGGATTTCTTCATTGCTTTTATTGCTGCTGTTGTAAAATCACTTCAATATTGCTATCCACTGATTTTTCTATCAAATTATATTCATGAGTTTACTCAAAAAAACAGAAAACTGTGGAATTCAATTTTAAGAGAACACTCCAGTGTCCTTTGAAATTTGAATATTGCTGTAGGACAGGTAGACCATGATGAGCTGTTGACAAGGTTATTATGTTACTGTGCTACAACCAAACTAATGCATCACAGCAGTTCATGTCTTGCTTCTTCATACTAATTTGAAATGAATGAGTGCTTTGCAATGACAACTTATATCTGTGGTGATTTTTCTATTTTTAATAATCAAAATGGTGTTCTGAATTTCAGGCACATTATGCCAGAAGGTCCCGTAGCGTTACAAGGAAACGTAAACGTGACGAGTCCGAAACCCCTAGATCTGTGGCACGAAGTCGCAGCTCCTCTCGCCCACCACGGGATGTCTCTGGTCTTCGTGATGCTAAGGTTTGTTAATTTGATCTACCCTCACAAGAACTAAAAAAAAGGGGTAAACTTATTTGGAGAGGTTACTCAGTGTGTTTGTTTGTTTGTTTTTAAATAGATGGTGAAGAAGGTCAAGACCATGGCAAAGAACGCTCAAAAGAAAATGAATCGCATGGGCAGGAAAGGAGAAGCTGACAGACACGTATTTGATTCTAAGCCAAAACATCTGTTGGCTGGGAAGAGAAAATCTGGTAAAACACAGAGAAGATGAGCCGCCTGAAATAAAGCAGAGGTTTATTAAAACTCCGTTCTGGTCCTGTTTTCCTTTTGAGCAAAAATGGAACGCTAAAAAATAATACAGTGGTAGTAGGAGGTAAGATCCCTGAATCCTAGAGAGGATCAAGTCTTGGATCTTAGTCTTGCATTTCCCTGGGTTAGTAACACTATGAGAAATTTCTCAGTCTTAAGTATTTGAAATTTCATGTAGAATTAGATTTATAATGAGCTAAAATCAAGAAATAAAGTGCTTAGCAGTATAACTGCCATGGGAACTAAACCTGTACCCTTCATTAGAAGCTGAGGCAGCGAGGCTCGGCTTCCTGGGCTGGAGGTTAGTGTTTGGGCACTGACCTAGTTCGGAACGAACGTGAGATGCACTTGTACACTAGGCCAAATAAAGACGGAAGCTGGAGAGGTAGCTGCTGTTCCAGGGATGCTCCAGGGTTACTGAGCAGTAACCATCCCTGTACTAACGTGAGCAGGCAGCATCACAACTTGGGTTTTTCACATTTCAGATACGCAAAAGAGTCAAAACTTGCTTGTTAGTTCATGTCAATTACGCTACTGTCATCCTCAGTTAAGGAACACATTTTTCCATAGAGACACGTCTTGGTGCTTGGAACAAAATATATTCTGTCAAATATTAAATATTCCTTTTTGTCTTTAGCTAAAAAACAAGGCAGGAAAGATCTGGAGGTTAGTAAAGCTGTGCATTATAAATGTAGTGCATGAACAAAGCAATGATAAAACAGTTTTTAAGATTAAACTGGAATCCAATAAAATGCACATGTAAAATAGCACCAGAATGGCAAAGGGGGAAAATCCTTTGTCTTGTTTTTCTTCTTTGAACTATTTGTTTTAAACACAGGAGAAACAGGATTGCTCAGCTGCCAACTTACGTATTCGAGCATTATGTATAATTCTCTTTTCTTTCCTCCTCTACTAAGCACTTTGGTATTAGAAAATATTTTCTAATACCAGACAAGAAGTTTAAAGTTGAAAAAAAAGTAACTTTCCAGAAAGTTTAAAAAATGCAAAATTTTGCGCACAGCTTCTTAGTGCACACTATGTCTATTCCAGGATATGGTCTCTCTGCTTTTGCTTCAAGTAGGTTATTTGAACTAGATGAGAGGAACTTTGTTAAAATAAAGTGACATCCAGCACATAACCCTGCTTCAGTGATGTTAACTAAGCAGTTTGTTCTTTTCAGTGTAGTAATTTCAGAAGTTACTTCTCACATGGATGTAAGCCTGGGGGAAAAAAAAGGAAACAAAAAACACAGTCCACAGTTTAAAGTATTTTAATCCTTAGTCATATCTTTAAATCACATTTCTTTTAAAAACTACCTTAATACATTACAAAGGTAATGCAGCTGATAGAACTGAATTCAACAGAGCTGTTATTTTATGATTCCCTCTCCCACTACTATTTGCTGTAAGGGAACACATCCAAAATGCAAGAACTTGACCCTAAAACTTCAAATGTTGAACCAGGAGACCCTGGCACAAAATAACTTCAATGCTGCAGTTGTAATTGTTTTGAGAAAAAGAATCTGAAAAATCTACTTTTATCATACAACCAGGTACAGTTTTGTTACAATCCTGTTTCATGCACAGGGAGAACTGATTAACATCTAATTTTACTAGAAAATCTCTGGTAGAGATTAACCAGAAAGGAATACAGGTTTTTGAATAGTCTGCTATCAGAAGACATCATTAAAGCTTTCAGGGAGGAAAACAGGAACTATGTAAGTTCAGACTGAAATAATGCTTTCATTAGCCACTGTCTAATTAAAAACAGCAACAAAAACAGAGCAAAACACAACCCTACTCTGTTAACCAGTAAGCAACTGCAAGCTCAAAAAGCAGTAGCTCAAACACTCAAATAGAATTTCTCATTAGCTAAAACTAAGATTTCGTGTAATGCCATGAACTCTCAAACTTGAATTTTGGGGTTTGAACAACTATTTAAGTCACAGGTTTGAGTTGTCAGGGACTTCAGAAAGGGTCTCAGTAGGTAACTGCAACAGAAAAACTTTCATCAAGATGTCCAATTTTCCAGGAGCTGGAGAGGTGCCATGTGCAGCACAACCCTCCTGCAAAGAACCTGCCTCATGTCAGGTTATCTAGTACTTGCATTTGGAGTAACGAACCATTAGTTTCTAATTAAAGATGTTCAGAAAACTAGCTGTTACTTAACCAAAAAGGAAGAGTTTAAGCCCTGTGTGAAGCAGAACAGATACTCTCTCTACTGAAGGAGCTGCTCAGGTGATGTCTAACTTCTCTTACAGAAGGAAACAAGAGCAAACTGGATGCACACATCTTGCACAGCTTGACCATTCTTCCACAGCCCTGGTGAGGGTTATGGTGAAAGGCAAAGCCAGGAAGCTTCCTATGTTGCCATTGCTTTTCTTAAATAACAGCAAGTTAAAGTCACACAGGGCAAATGGGGAGGGCATTTGAGGGGGGGAAGGAGGAAAAAAAAATCCACCACAACCATTTCTGGATAAAGTTAAGTATTCATTTGTTAGCACTTGAGTGAGAGTCACCACACAGCTAGTGAGACAGCACCTCCCGGGCAGCCTCCAGCACCTCCCGCTGCTGACTGCCTACATTCTGTGTATTCTTTCATGATCCACAAATTTATTCAAGTTATCCAAGTTATCCCACCACTTAAAAAGAAAGGTCTCTGCAATTAGCTTAAACCACGGAGTAATCTTAATTTCATCCTTGGAGGCTTTGTCCAACAGCTGTTTCAGTTCCTTCTGTGTCACGTAACAGTAGCTCTGGATTTCGTTAGGGTCAGGATTCAGTGTCACATCCTTCTGCACAAATAAGATGTAGTCTATTTCATGTTCACCCCAAATCCCATCCGACTTGGCCTTGTAGTGAATTCGTGTCAGGTAAGAGATTTCCTCTGGTGTAACCTACAACCGAAACACATCTTAGAATGGGGAGCAGCAAGACAAAAACAGAATACTCAAATTGCCAGGCATCACAGAATAACTAACAGCTTCTATCTTCTGTCATCTTCCTAAAACAGATTTTATTTTCTGGATGTACAATTGCAACACATTTCTTGATAAATAAAACATTTTTTTCATGGTGCTTAATTAATTTTTAATTGCACTTGCACTTTTAATCACATAGATGGCCTGGCCTTTTTCTAGCCAGATTTACCCTATAGTATATTGGGTGTTTTCTTTCTCTCTGCAGTAACTTAAGTTTTAAACAGTGTTTACCAGAGCTTGACGTGCATTTACTGAAGCACTAAATCAATACTGAAACATGTGCGCTTACCCATTATTCCCAACCAAGACCAGACAACCATTTAAAGCCAAGATCAAAACTTGGCTTTCAACGTCCAACACTGTTCTGCAGGGACTGGTGCAAGCTGCAGACAAGCTAAGTAATTCTGGGGACAATGTAACCATCTGCTTTCCCAGTTATCTTGCTGTTCCTCCCTTTGTTTGCGACACAGACACACTCAGTTCCAAGGTGTAGAACGAGGTTTCAACCACCAGCCTCACCCAGCAGGTTCTGCCCGGCCCTCTGTGCACTCTTAAATCGCCAAATGAAAAGAGGGGTGCCAGGAGAAGGCTGTTTGATCTGTCTGGAGGCAACACCTGATGCCCTGGTCACCTTCTCCTGCCCCCCTGCAGGAGAGTTCAGCACGGAGCCTCCCCACACGACCTGGGCAAGCAGGAGGGCCAGTCCCAGCACCCACTGGTAGAACTGAAGCAATAAAACGCTTCATTACTCTGTGATTTACTCTTTGGCTCATATTTACTTCAAGCAGTGAAATACTCTAAGTGTCATTTAGTGAGATAAGCTTTTGAGACTCCAAAATATAGAGCAAGAAGTCTCGCATTCATTACATCATCCAGAGATGAAGTTAAATTTTAGTTCTCAGGCTGATGCCGCCTGCCAGATGTGGTTACCAGGGGAAAACCTGAATAGTGACTGATGATTTACATTTCTCCCTCCTTCCTTTACCTGCTCCAAGGGAATTCCTAATTCTGCTTTCAGTCTTCTCTGTGCTGCTCTCCGAACACCAATGGCATCATTTTCTTCCAGTTCCAGGGGATGGCTTAGTGGATGGCTGCAACACGTGTTGGTAAAACAATCTGCAAGGAATTTGCATCAGTGCAGTGCTTAGAACAGTAACATCATATATAACTGTAATATCATCTATAACTGTTCATCCATAAATGGTAATTAAAGTAACATTGGGGAGTTTACATTCAACAGAGCATTGAGCATTCTCCCAGAATGTGCAAAAACTAACTCACAGCGAGCAAATAAGCAGGTCACACTTGCAATCGTAGAACAGATCTTCCATAATATGTGTCAAGTATATTAAAAACTAATGCAGAGACACAACTGCCCTCAGTCAACCCTTGACCTTTAAGAATCTATCTCAAAAGCACCTAAAAGACAGTCTAGTTACCTACAAAGTACACCTGTCCTGTTGATTTTTTAGTGATTAAAGAAAAATATCTTTAAGGTAATCTTTTTTTAAGGAAAGAAAGATCTTCCTACAACTGGAAAAGCTCACAAATACAGAAGTTTATTTTCCAAGTGGAACTCTAAAACAGGCAGTTTTAGGTTTCTCCCAATGTGTCCCATGCAAGCTACTTTTGTTTCCTTCCACCTATTTTTATGCTTCTTTGCATTTACAGTAATAGTTTGGGAGTCTTCCATAATGACCCAGTCTGGCTGCAGCCGCCGTGTTTCTAGAGGCAACAAAAGTATTTGAGATTTATAGTGAGAGAAGGTCCTCTGCTCTGGCTGAGCACCACACAAGTGCTCCCCAAGCAGAATGACTCCACAACATAGCAATCACAAGTTACAGTGGAATAAAACCAATTCAACTCTGCAGAGATCCCCGAGCAGCTGCTCCAGCTCTCCCAGTGAAGCCTTTCAGCAGTGATGATCAACACCACACACTCTACACCTACACAGACAGGATCAAACAAGCCACGAGAGACTCTTTTCCCAAGAACATGTGTGACAATAAACAAGTACTCCCATTATTCCCTTGCTGCATCTATGAGAAAAGCACTTCTCAAGTTCTTTTAAAAGTAAGCACTGGCTTAAATAAAGCATTTTGATAAAGGCAGGTGTCTGCACTAACCTGGAAAAGTGATTTTAGCGTGTGATCTCTGCTGCAACAACAGCTTATTTTCTGTGTTGAATAAGAAAACACTGAATGCTCGGTGCAACAATCCTAAAAAAAAAGCATAGATAATGTTTAATGGAGGAAAAAAAGAAAAAAACATAAAAAACCTCCCAGCAGTCAAAATTCATACCTGCTAAAAATGTATTTGCAGAAAAACTCTTATTTAGTTTCTATTTCAACTTGGACCTAACATTAAGAAATTACAAAAGCTCTAAGGACAACAAGACAAGAGGGGACATCTACTAAGCCGTTAGTTCACCATTTTGCTGATGCACATTCAGCTTCTATGAAGGCTCACTATCCATAAATTTATTATGAGAAAAAGATGACACCAAAATCATGAACCTGCTGACAGAATTTCAAGGAGTGGCAAGAACTGCACATGTGTGGTGGAAGGGAATAGTAAGAATAGCAGAATTATTGATTATTAAGGCTTTTGTGTCGTTCTTCAGAACACCCATGTCTATACAAAGAAAGGTCACAAACTACTATGTGAAAATTCACAAATGTGACCAGCCAAAGTGAATTTGATTAAGTGGTTAAAATGAAAACAGAAAACCTTCGATCACCGGTAGTTGAGGCAGAATTCTGACTTAGCTACTGAAAAATCCTAGTCTCTTCTATTCATAAAAAACTCAGTGAAGAGACACTGGTGTTCTTTAGAAGAGCAACAGAGAAGCAGCTACCTAACAGAAAAACAACACTACTTTATCATCAAAATGCATGAGTCTAAGTATTGCAGAAAACATATGGCTTATATAACCATTTACCTCCCTTGCTGCTGCCTCTAACTGCTCCCTCACATTGCGACTCCCTGAAATTAAACATTAAGCCTCGCGTGGAAACCTTGTCCCTGTTTGATCCGCACCCAGTCCCACGGGGCTTCAATTTAATCACTGTGGCATTTCTGAAAACGCAGGCTCAAACTCCCCGGCCCGGCGCCCCCCCGAGCGGCACCTTTGTCGATGTTCTCGTTCAGGTGGCAGTTCTTCTTGGTGTCGGCGCCCACGGCGCGGTCGTTGTCGTCGATGAGGATGCAGCGCTCGGCCAGCAGCTGCACCTGCTGCTCGTCCAGCCCGTCCGTGCTCACCTCGGGCATCGCGGCGCCGCGGCACGTCCCGCTGAAAACACCGGCGCGCACGGATGAGGGGACGTTCGGCGGCGTGCGCACCCGCAACGCGCAGGCAGAGCGTGGGGACTCATTAAACGACTGGTTTTCCTTACGCGGTTGGTATAAGTTGTGTTTTTACGGGTTTTCTCTGACGTTTCCTGCCCATAAACCACACCACCCTGCGATTTAAAGCGGCTGCTTAAAAGATTTTATTGTTATTATTCACAAACTCCATGTAGCAGCTGCACCTGCAGAACAGACTGAACATAATATTTTGGGGGGCTGACGGAGTATTGAGAAATCAATGCTAAATTTCACCCAGAACTGGTGAAAACCTGTCTAAAGCCGCATTCTCTGCATGTTCTGCCGGGGAACTCTGCCCTGCACACTCAACCCCGGGGAGAGCACATCCGTGTGCATACATAAACGGGTATATAAACACATATAGCGTTTCCCCTCTTGCCCGGTAGAACCGGGTAACCAAACCTCGCGGCCCAAGCCCAGGAGGCCGAGGCGCTCCCGAAACAGAAAACCAAAACAAATCCCGGTCCCCGCAACCGCTGCGTCCCTCCCCGTCCCCCCGACCCGAGCACAGGGTGGCAAAACATAAAAATAATAATTAAATAAATAGAAAGGAAGGGGTGCTCTCCGTCTTTAAGCTACCTCACAGCCCGAAGCCCCTGCGGTATCTCAAGCACTGCCCGTTTTTAGGGCGCAGTTCCGGGATTTCAGCAGCCCCCTCAGCGCCCCCCGGCCGAACCCGCCGCCTCCTCTCCCCTCACCTCAGGGCACGGGTTTGCAGCAGGCAGAGGCCGGCGGCGGCGGCGCGCGGAGGCGGCGGCGGCGCGCGGCGCTGGCGGTAACGGCAGCGCCTCCCCAGCGCCCGGCCGCCCCCCGCGCCGGCCCCCCCCCCGCGCGGGCCGCGCAGCGCAGCGCGCGCCACATCGCGCCCCCCGCCGCGCCCGCCAATGGCAGCGCCGCGAGGCGCCGACGTCACGCGATCGCCCGATCGCCCCACTGCCGCGCGCGGGCGGCCCGGGGGCGGGGCTAGCCGCTGCGGCGGGATTGGCGTCGCGCAGAGCCAATGGCGGCGGGGTTCGGCGGTGGCGCTGGCCAATCCGCAGGGCGGGGAGCGGGGAGGCCGGCGGGGGTGGTGTGAGGGGCGGGCGGAGCCGGCCCCGCTCTGAGGTAGCTCGGCGGCGGCCGCGGCCTCTCTCGGACCGGCGGGGTCCTGGCGGTGACAGGAGCCCCGATCCCTCCGGGAGGCGCCGGGAGGCGCGGGACGGAGCCCGGGCTGCCGCCGTGCGGGACCCGCCAGCCCTGGGAACTATCGGGAGTCGCGAGTAACCTCAAGTGCTGCCCTCGTCCATGAAGCGGGCTGCATTGCAGTTTTAGACTAACCAGTTTGGCGCTAAACACTTACTGGGGTTCACTTTCTAGCCAGTTCTGCAGGATTTGCTGTGGTAAATGCCATAACTAGGTGCTGTAGAGCTGAACACCGTTTCTTCTTCTTCCCCCTCCCCTGTAGCACATTTCATGTATTACAGGTTTGTACAGGAACAGCAGCACTTCACCTAGCGGTTAAGCCTATGAGTGTTCGGCCTACAGCACTCCGGGCACGAGGAAGGCAGCGCAGGTCGCCCCTCCTTCACCGATAGCCGCAGTTTGTAGAAGACATTCACTAGGTTAGTTAAACATGCAAAATGCCAAGCTCAGTAGCTGCTCAGGGGACGAGGAAAGAAACACCGAGTATCTGGACAGAGGGATCAGCGGCAGGCAGGATGCAGGGATGATCTCCCCAGATAGGGCAGCGCCGCATAGGTGCGGATGGGAAGCAGGGGAACTTCAAATCAGCCTCTGTGGAAACCCAGCATTGCTACAGCCGAGTAGCTGCTCAGCAAAGCTGCTTTCGCTACGCCACGAGCTGACTGCGGATTTGGGCTTGCAGCTAAATTTTATAAAAGGCTCTGAATGATGTTCCATGCATATGGGGGCAGCACTTGCTGTGATCGCCTCCAAGTCACATCCCAGCACTTCCTTCTGATTCATTTTGATTCTTTCGGTGCACAGGCCTTTCATTTAGAAAAATCACTAGCAGAACAAAATGCTCAAAATGACAGCGAATATCTTGAAAGGGGCTCCCCTATGAAGAGCCTGGTTAAGGGAGTGTAAGGGCAGGAAGCGGTTCAAGTGGAAATGACTTGAAACCAGCAGAAAACAGAAACTTAATAATAAAAAAGAAAATGCCATCTGCTGCACATCCTTTCAACTATCACTGCTGAAAACACGAAAACATTAATACGCACTGTAAGAACTGAAACATGAACTGACTTCCTTTTATCCTGAGTCACTCTTGAGCATGAAGGGAGCAACAGTGAGCCTTGCAGAAAAACATCCTTCACGTATTGATCACTTGCGAGTTTCGTAGCTGAAAACTTTTTAAAAAGGCCAAATTGTGTGTTATATTTCTATCAGTCTGCTAATATGATCAAACATAAGCTATACAAATATCTCAAAATTATTTTAACTACTGAGATGGACATACAAAAGAGCATCACATGAGAAGATAACAAAGTAACCATGAGCTGTCTTGTCAGTAAAGCCCTGTTGGAGTAAAAGCTTCTACCCTGAAAACCAGAGATGGTGACCTAAAAATCCAGCTGACAAACCTGACGTGTCATCACAGCAGCCAAGGAGAAGACGGAGAATAATGCAGTGACACAGCCTGCACAGAGGCAGGACACCAGCAAAGTGGCCCTGGAGATTATGGGGATAAGAGACGGCCAAGACTGTAACCAAAGGTATCTCCAAGGTCAGGTGAATTATGTCACTTCTTTCATCTTTCTTCTTACTCCTCACCAGACACACTAACACCATCAAGTTAAACAGAAGACTAAGCTACCAGGTAAAATAAATGAGGAACAAACCTGGGATTTGATCTCAGCTTAAGACCCAAAGAATCTCTCATAGAACGAGCCTATCCTCAGTTTTCAGTTTCATTAAATAAAGCTACAACTTTCCATCCTTCAAATACATTTTTTTCTTTTTTAATCTTCCTCTCATTTGCTTTAATTTTTAAGACTTCCAGTTCACTCTTGTCAAGTACAGAAGTCCGCTCAGAAGTTCACTTTGCCCTGGAGCCACAGCTCTTTAGAAAACCTTGGTCTAAGTGACTCACCTGTTTGCAGAGCAAACAGCAGCCTGGATTTTATCTGAATGGGAACTCGAATCCCTTCCAGCCCCACTGCCTTTCGCTTGATCCTTCTTAAAACGCCTATTTCAGGAGAGTGGGGTGGCTTTAGCTCTTTTCAAGGAAGACAGATGGCTTTGGAGTGGAAATGTAATATATGTATACTAAATATATAAGTAGGATATTGCATTTGCATTTAATTTTGCTGCCTCAAGTTTGATGGAAAGAATGGACAGCTTCCAAATGTTTATGTACAACATAAATAATTAACACGATAATAGAGGAAACGGCTCTTTTAGAAAGGAATAATTAATATTTCTAGACTGTTGTTCTGTTCTCGATCTGTTTTACATTTTTTTTTTCCTCTCTCTTTTGTTCTGAGCTCCGGTCAGGATGCTCTGCCCTTTCCTGCTACTTTTACAGGTTTGGGAAATCTTGATTTCGGAGATTCAACTAATACTCTGTCCTGTTGCTGATTTCTATTGCCCCGTAGACAGCTTTCCTTTCCTAGGCTGTGTTCCCAAGCTCAGCAAAGGAAAGAGAAGGAATGCAGATGATCAGGAAGGTGATGTCTAGCATGACCTAACTTTTGCTACTGCTTGCAGTGCTCATAAGAAAGGTTTATTAGCTGTTGGTGAGACTCATACCAGCTGATATTGTTCCATATTTCCCTAGTTTCCTGCATTTCCACCCATGAACATTCTTCTTCTGATGGGGAGATGTGAAAAGCAGCACAGGCTGCAGTTCTGTGGGCCTAATGCTGAGTTAACCAGTGTCACTGTGGGGCTGTGACAAAACACAAACCAGGGCCAGCAGGACACCAGGATCACCTGCCATCCCTCTCTCTTGGAAAAACAGCTGCACCCACACGTCTGTTAATTCTAAGGGGAAACTCTCCCTAGACTAAGGGAAGAATAGTTTAAACTTCTGCCTTTGTTCATAAAAACATAAAGAATGATCTCTTTACTGGCCCCCTCTGTTGCAGAGTGAGCAGAAGATGCCAAGTCACCAAGTTTTTTTTTTTTTTTTTTTTTTTTTTTTTTCCCCAGAAGTGTCTCAAATGCAGGTTCTCATTCTCTCTCTGGACATTTTATCTTTGAAAATGTAGATGAAAATATTACGCTACGGTGGAATTGTATTAGGATAAAATAATTTCAGGAGGAATAATGAGATTTAAACAAGTGCCTGTGTAGGAACTAAATACCTGAGGACTACAGAATTGTGACTTGGATGGCTGGGATACCTGAAACTGCACAAACTGTGAGAACTCACAGTGAGTGAGGATGAGCAGGCAAAAATTAAGGGAACTTTTTTAGGCTGGTTTTGCCGTAGAATAGCCTCCAGGGAAGGAAAAGCAGCATCAGGGCACAAACGCTTTAGTAAACTGGTGAAAAATACTATTTTTGTCCATTTTCTTAACAGTTGCAGTGAAGATACGGCTGCAGAAGATGAGGTGGAAAGGGAAAAGAGGAGGAAAGACAACGGCAGGCTGCCAAGCACATGAAAGGAAATGCAGTATTTTTAGTCCTCGCTGCACAAAGCAGATATTCGTTTGGCCCTTTGACCACCGCCTTCTTCTGAGGCTGCAAGATAATCCGTAGGAAGAGAGAAAATAATTAGGCAGTTTTAAAGGTCTCCTTTGACTTTCGTAATCTGCTGCCATGAATGAGAATTTTAGGTGGAGGCTTTTGCGAGCGCTAATCAGCAAAGGAATTAATCACATTTCAATTACGTGTTGTAGGCTTCAAAGCGGACAGCCTGCTTGCTGCGTGTGGCGCTTGGCTTTGATTTCAGCTTCTGCCATTTGGGCCGCAGATGCCCTAAAGGAAAGCCGAGGTTTGGAACCTTCCAACCTTAGATACACAGGAAAAAAACCAAAAAAGCCCCAAACTTCCCACCGCAAAGCTTCATTTAATTTTTAACCCCCAGTTAGGACAGTGCAACTGGGACAGGGGCCCACTTGGCTATTGAGGATAAAATGCAACTCATCTTTTAAAATACGAGGATTAAGTTAATACGCGGAAGACCCAAGTTTCGGGCTAACCGAAGGCGAGGGAAGAGGGAAGGGGCCTCGCGTGCCCGGGGAGCTGCTGCACGTTGCCTCACAGACACTGCTTCCCGAAACGCGGCGGTGCTGCGGGGAAGGAGCAGGATTCAGACATGGGAATGTGGGAACGACCCTCCAGGCCCGGCGGTGTGCGTTTCGCGGCCCGGGACCCCCGTTTCGCGGCCCGGGACGGGCCCGCGGGCGGCGCCGGGAGCCGCGG